GAAGAAGGGACGGTAAAAACCACGAAAAGTCGACAAACGAGTAACCCCTTTCAATACTAGGTAGGTCCCTCCTCGATCAAATATGACTATCCCTTTCCAAAAAAATTACGAAGTTTTCAACGACGAAGCACAACATTTCTTACGCGATTCCCCCAACGATGCTGTGCCCTGACACAGCATTCACAAGTCCCGTCCGAAGCCCTAATATCGTCCAGTGGCGCAAGATGTCCCCTGGCCAGCTGATGAGATCCGAAATGTCTCTAAATTGTAGGCTACTTCCCTCTAGAATAAAGCGCTGAATCGCGCGAGACACAAGCGCAAACTGAGTTAGAATTGAAATCGGACTCGTCACCGATCCGGCGGGTAAATTGCTAATTACTCAATATCAAATAAGATGGACCAGTTGCTTAGTCGGGTGACAGCTGGTACTTACTTGGGTGGTAAGTCGATCCTTGCATGAGCGGCACATGGAGCAGCTCCGTGAGCGTGCAGGGAGACGAACGCATCACAGTCGTCGAGCAGTAAGGTAAGGTGCTGAAACAAGGGTACCGTGATCTTTTCGCTGACTTGTGGCCCGGTCGGCCTTATCCCGTAGAACTTACCCGATCGTAGTAAATGACATGGACAGTATGCCACTCGCCGTCATTTACCCTGTTCCTCCGCTCGCTCTCCATGCGCACTACTTTTGGCTGGTCGCCAAGTGAAAATTCTGCCTTGAGAACGCGGTCTTGGATGGAAATCTCAATGAAATCCGAGTTACGGTCTCCAGAGAAAAGCAGGACACCGTCATGAGCGATTGTAGCCATCCTGCAAGAAAAAGATTCAATTTCTGAGCTAATGCAAAGCCATAGGTAGGTCTCAAGAACTCACCTGAAACTCAGCTGCCATTCGAGTCTGCTCAAAGCCTTGTTGATGTTCACCAGTCCTCTGCCTTCAAATCCCAAAGAGCGCAGTCGGCAACGCTCGTCCACATCTGTCGGGGCATACTCACAATGCTTACAAACCATTTTTCCATCGACAATAACTGGAAGGCTTTCGATAGTCTTCTTTTTGTTCGCTTCGGAGAAATCTTCATGCGACTCACCTTTGACACCATAATACCGTACTCCGGTCGAGTACAGTTGAAATTGTTCACTTCAAGCCATCGTCCCATGTTGTCGCATGTTCGGGTAGCCAAACCCGTCTGGGTGCCAGGACAGGATTGACGAGCTATTGACCCTTGAATGAAAGGTTATTATCCATGAGGTATGCTGGCGTATAATACCCTAGCCTTACCTTTAGATGTTGTTGGCCACTGCACTCCCAATTCGATCTGCGATGGACACTGACCGTTGATTAGTCGGCAACGTAGCGATTTCGGATCAAGGACCTGAAATGTCAAGTCGAATGACCCAATCACAACCAGAATGGATCGCGCCACGCACCTGTCTTCTATCGTGAGAATAATTAGACTTTCGAAGAAGCAAAGGACAGAAGTTGTTACCCAATTTCCCAATGTCACGGGCAATATTCTAAGGTCTTTCTAGTATACTATTGCCGCGTTTATGGATGCGCGAGTGCAAGGACTGCGCAGCGCCTACAGGGAGAATGCAGCCAAACTAGCGGAAAGGGGGGGGAGAGAGAGCTATGCACCTATTCTGCCGCTGCTCAAGTCTCCAAATTACTTGGACCAAGTATATCATATGCATATGAATCGTTTAGGGACGTGCAGGGCTGCAGCGCAGGCATGATGCGGATAGTCCAGACGAAGACGAGAAGCGAAAGAAAATGAGAAAGAAGGAAGTAAGAAGTACGGAACTTCACAGGGAGCATCCCCGGCAAAAACAGAGCCTAAAACATGCACCTTATAGCTTCGATGGAATCGGAGCCATGATGGCGGAAAACTTTGCAAGGAGAATTCCGGAAATCGGAAATGTGAAGAGGGTCATGGCCTGGTACTAAACAGTCTCACTCTTCGTACAAGTAAATTGACTTACATGGTTTTCAAGCGTACATCGATCACATCGTCGGCCACTAGCTTGGCCAGCGCACTTGCACTTGGCCGTCCACTGGAGCATTGCAGCGATGTGGCACCGTACCCACATTCGCAACTCACGCATCGACCTCCTAAGGGGAACTGGAACTTCTGCAAAAAGACTGAAATTCAGAAACACCTATCATGACCCATTTCTCGGCGCTGTTCAGCTCGGGAGGGGCATTTCGACATGGCGCTAGTTCTTTTTGCAGTTTCCTGGTTATTAAAGGTCAGACGCATGCATAAAGCTTTGAACTCCTTGACAAGTGTAATGTGATGTCCTCTAACAGACAGCTTCACAGAAAATTTTCAGGCTTCAGCTGAGGCATCGATGAGTCATCAGTGGGAATTCAGTTGAAATGTCCCACCAAGTCAATTGCGCCTTGCCTTCCTGACGCGACACAAACAACATACGGACACGCCAGTTCCATTCTCCTTATTGCACTGTGTCTCAAATCCTTCGGAGCAAGAACACTTCTTGCAGTGAGGAAACTGTCCCCAAAATCCCGGCGGACAGATCTGCACCGCAGCGAGCGCTCGCCGTTCGGGTCCAAACTAGGTTCCTGAAAAGAGGAGACATGATGGCTTTGAAGTATCAATTATAACATGGTGGAAGAGCACTATATCATACGTTTTAGGAAACAGAGGGTTACAGTATCTAAAAATGGTGCATAAAATCGACTGCGTAGGAACGACTGGTGCACATTGTTTCCGCAGGCAGCACCTCGCTGCAGCTGGAGAGAAGAGTCAACGTCCTTTTCGGTTTCTGCCCTCAGCCCGGAGCTTCCTTCCGTGTGCTCTTCAAAGAGTCCAGGACATACGATCAAAAGTACATTTTGTTATGCTGTGCGTCAGAAGAGTCGTAAACTGGCGGACAGCAGTGCGCGCGCATGACACGAGATTTTTCGGCTCAAGTTTATTCTAGTTGAGTGCTCACTAGGTTCAAGCTACAAAGAGGCAGAGTGCCTGTTTCGTTGACGGAAACGAGGACCAAACTTCTTAAGGTCACTGTCATGTGCTTGCCATAAGTACGAATTGCGACGCCACTTTATCTCGTGGATGCGGAGTGTACGTACCTCAACCGGGTGTTTTTAAAAGGCATAGTAACAACAATTAAATCAAGGATGCCCCAGCACTTGGGTAAATAACCGGCCTACGGTACTCGCCAATTGTGTGCGTCCATTGGGGACGAGTATGTTAATTTCAGGCTGGCGCAATTTCGGAGAAGCCTGTATCCAGACCTGTCTTTCTTAACGGTTATATATATTGCTGGTAACCACTCCCGCTTTGACAATGGCATCGTAGCCTCGAGTCGTATTTGTCGTTAAGCAAAATCCATTTGAGGCACAGATGCCCGGCAAGGAACAGACGGCTTGGCAGGTGTCACCAGCGAATCCTTTAATGAAAAAGTGATTTTTCGTGGGCATCGGTGAAATGGGTCCTATGACGAACCTCTGTGACATTTACATGAGTGACGATTCCATTCTCGTTGACAGGTGCTTTCCTTTGGACAAACGCCATCCACGTTGCATCGATTCGCTACGACGCAACCTTGACGAATCTTGAAAAAGTGGCACATTTCTAGTGATTTTTCCAAGAGTACATGTTATTGAAGTGGCGGCGCGAGTTGGGAGGGGGGGGGGGGGGGAAGCGTTTCGCACTTTCGCTCTTTCCCCATGTCGTGCTCATTGCTTTACAGTAACTGACAGGTATTTTTTTACCAAAGTTAACGAGTTTTTTCTACAAAGTCTGACTGGTAACATCATGGCTCTACAAGACTACAAGACTTTACAAATCCTTACTTAATGGCTCGACACGACAACGGAAAACAGCGAAAGTGCAAAATGCCCCCCTCCCTAATTGCTAACTATATCCGAAATAACTAACTCTTCCTTTTTCAGGCTAACGGTTAAGAGCATCTCCGTTAATTAGTCACATCTTCTTAGGCAACCGTCCGAAACGAAGATGGAGTCCTGTTGACGCGTGCAAAACCGCATAGATACGTCGAGGGTCACTCACTCGACACATGGACTGCCTTGTTGTCTCTAAATAAGTTATCTCCGGATAATGATGATATAGGACACGCCATGGTGCCTTGAGCCAAATTTTCCTCATTACCATCACTCATATCCACGTGCAGTGCCCGCGTAGAAAAAGAAACACTCATCAGAATTAGTAAACAAAATATTAGTAAGCTCAATACGCCTAGTCCCCCGCCCCCCATAGCTGAATATGACCCTTTCGACTCTTTCTTTCGCCTCGAGAAATCCCTAGCGTACGGTGTGTCGGGAGACGGTCGAGAGAATCGTTAATTGCCGCTCCGTCGCAGGCGATGAGCGCGGCGTTTTCCTCATTTGGATTACCCTGTCAGCTGGGACCCCACATTTCATGCAGACTGCGACATGGTTGATATTTGTAGCTAGTTTTAGTTACGTTGCCTATTACCGCTATTGCGACTAACATCACCTTTGCCCCGCGACATCGCACGCGGCTCCAACAAGTTACGATTGTCCTGACCGTGGTGTGCCCTGAGCGGATCTTTTCTTCCTGTAAACTCACCACAGAATAAATCCCATCGATGGTAGTTTTAACCTCCTCTTCCCGGAATTCCATTTCTACCTTTGTCCACACTCCAGCATGTAACTCCGGTGCGTCTATGGTCGATGAGGTCTGACCAAGCCAAACTTTTGGAAGACCATCCTCGATCTGCAACAGTAATGCTTTGCTTTCATCGAACTCGATAATGTGACCGTTCAGCCAACCTCTAGTCTGAAGAACGTGGTTCGCTGCTCGAATTCAGCAACGATTATCTGCATATCGGCCTTGGATGTACGGAATTCGAACGACAACGAGAATGGGACGGAAATCTCTTGTGGACGATAAATCACGAACGATTCTTCATCATGTAGTGTTAGCGGTCGTCGATGGGTGATGACAGCTCTGAAATATAGTCAGTCGGACTATTAGACTTAGATGTTTGTGTTGCAAGATCGCCAATGTATGCTAGACATAAATAGAAATAGTATTAATGAGCCATTATTATGTCACTTTCTGTAATCACGGACCTATAAAATGACATGTACAGACTTAGACTGTGATGCGTAGAAGAAGAGCATCCAGGGTGTAAAAGAGAGCATAGCCCCGTAGAGAGGGCAAGCCAAACGACTTCGCACTATTCCATGGGGATTATTACGCACCCGTCATTATAAGAATAAAAGCATACTGGATAGAGTATCAACCCTCCCGGCCATTGACTGTGAATGTCATATGCATATTTAATTGATTATCCAATTCCAAGTGAGGTTTGAGTGCGTGGCGCAGGATAAGGGAGATTGGCTGTCGCCCACTTTCCCATTTCCACGAACAATTCATGGCTGTGCAAGAGTAGGTATTAGTCACTATCGCTTCAACTTCAGTGAGGGCTCATTACTTCTACAGAACGTTACGCGATGGAAAAGCTCACTTCGACCTGAGGAAAAACTGTTCACTTCACAGCATGACAGGATCGCATGTGATGTGCGCCAGAATGTGGGCAGCGACAATTGGCGCCATTCCATCGGTTAGCGCATTTCGCACTTGTGGAGCAAACGCCTTTGTCACAGAAGTCCTTCCGAGGAGCACATCCCTCGTTCACCATTCCACGGACGTCCATTTCAGCCAACGACGAAAATTCGATTAGTTCATCATTCAACGTCAAATTGGCGATGCAACCTGAGCCGGTCATTCATTTATGAGCAGTAGAGATAAAGCTTATAGATGCGTCTTTTATTGAACTTACCAGTGAATCCTTGCTCTATTTTTCCGGAAAGTGCTGGTCTACCGCCAAGGAAGATCCCGTTGTAGACGTCTAGGAAACGGAAACATGGGACGGACAAATCAACGCACCTGCAAAAAAGCAAATTTTATATCGAAAATGTCGACCACAATGACAACTTTGGTGCGGGTGAATCTGACTAAGAGAATGATTTTCTAACCAACTCCACCCTTGTAGAAAATTTCCAAGAGAATCTAGTCCAGATTTCACAAGGGAGCAACAAAGAATAAATAGTGGGCACTCCGCCCCAGCCTCCTATTTTTACTTTTTTTTATCGGCAATCAACTGTGCAACAAAAATCAAATTTAGAGGCAAGGCCTTCACGATCAATTTCTTTGGGAGCATCATATCCAATCCGAAGGATATTACTGCCCAGTGAAATGTCATAGTGTACATCAGTGATTCCGAAGGGAAGCACAGTAGGGTTTGCGAATACCAAAAATGGCTAATTGACGTAGAATTTTTTGTAGATTACATATTTATGTTCTTTTTACCAAAACATTTCGGTTTCTGAACGGAGCTAATCAGCGCCAGGGCCGCCCAGATGGGGAGAAATGGCGTGTCAGAATGACGAGTAGAACTAAGTTCCTTTCCGAAACGCCTCCCTCTCTCTTTCCCTCTCCCCCCCTCACCATTGTCACCTACCTTCTTCGTAAGATTTCTCAACTCGATACCGATTATTTCCCGTTTTCCAAAAAAATTTCCAATTTTTTCCCCAAATGCTGCCGTTGAGGAGAGGGATTTATATAGTACGTTGGCGTTCTTCAACGAAGAAGAGTATCCGACCGATGAAGGGAGAGGGAGGGGAACGTAGTTGCTTTTCAAGAGGTTGTTTTCGGTTGTTTACTTTTGATTTTTACTGTTTCACTGACTTTCAAGTTACGTTGATCACCTCCGCTCGTTCCACGATAGATTTTCCGGTGCTGGGAAAATGTGAAAGCTGGGAGTTTTGGAAGACTTGTAGTCTAAGATGGTGGGATAGGCGAAGGGGGAGGGAGCATCGATACGCAGAGGAGAAACTTCGAGGGGGGCGGGTCCGTACAAAGTTTTTCCAATGGCAGACATGCTTCTGGCCCAGGGACTTCAGTATGATGTGCTCAACTCCGGCGAGCTGTTGGTGATGCTTCACAATGCGACCCGAGGATCGGATCCGATAGATGGTCGTAACCTGGACATTGCCCGAACTGCCCTGCACAGGATTTTGGACGCAGAACTACAGTAAGTTCACTCAGAGACCCATTCTGCAGTGTAGCGGGACCTGGCTTCCCATTGGCCTCTCCTTTCAAGTGCGCCTCAATAATGAGGGTCCAATAGTAGGCCGGTTCCGCCTGTGCGACTAGCGTGGTGCTGGCATACCGTATCTCTGTCACCTAGCGCTTTCAGGCTCGAACAAATCGAACAGAATCATCTGAAGGATTTATGGTTCACGGAATCATTAGCGGTCGCTGCCGGCAAGATCGCCGCTCATGAGTCACCTGAAGGCTATTTGGCGACCGTCCAAAAACTCACTGACTATGGAGAGGCTGTGTTCAACGTCCATCAGCAGATGCCTTATCTACAACCATTTCAATTCGCCTCAAATCACATAGGTACAGCTGATTAACACAATTATGAAAGCAATATTCACAAACAAGCCTGATTTTTGCTGGCTGCTTCTCTGCTACGTGTTACCTCTCTCAGGGGATGCTGTACGTGCTGTATGTGGGGGATACCCACCAAGAGGGGGGAAGGGGCGTATCTGATTGCTGGAGGCATCGGGGTCATACTTGCCTTTGAGAACGATCTTTCTGGCTGCTAACTTTCCCTGCTTTGAGTGCACTCCTCCTCCCTCGCTCGATGCAGTCTTCTTGAGAAAAAAAGGATTTCAGGAACTTTTGGAAAAAAATTCCGGAAAAGTGGTAAGAATCTTTGGAAATGCGGGAGGATGATAGGCAGGATAGGGGAGAAAAGGGTCGCAAAAGTTTTCCACAACGCCAGGACGTGTCCTGAACTCTCTACCCCTCCCACTTCCAGTTTCTGTAGTTCCCAGAGAGGATTCTTTCATCGCTAAAAGGATGCACATGTATAGCACCAGAGAACTTGTTCTCTTTTCTTTCACCCCACTGTCACCTGACATCCAATAAGACCTTCCCCAACTAGCCAGGTATAGTCATTCCCACCTTTAGCAAATACGATCCTCATCGCGGAGATTTCTTGCTTTGTATGGGGAAAACTGGATTAGATTGAACTCGGGGTTAAATATCGGTTCGTTGGTGTCCGCTAGGTGTAGACCAAATGCGCCACTGAGGTCCTGAAGCTGAGTAGGATGCTAAATTTTGATCACACAAGTACTTTACCTGGTTGACTTTCAGCTTCTCACTAATGATCTAACCATGTTACCGTGAGAAGCTTGTTGTTTTTGCTTGCAATCTTTGTGAGGTACAGTTAGCGAGCGGGGGGGGGCTATAGGCAGGAGCTGGGCTTCTTGTTGCCCAGGGATCTTACGAGAGAGTATTTTGCTACGAGAGGAGAGCACTCACAGTTATGGACAAGGTACAGAACTCGCTATGCTTTTATGTCATAGGAACGGTTAATTCCACGCTCGTTATGTGGGCGGAAGTAGAATTCCTATTGAAAACGAACTGTACGCTTACCTTCCTCCTGATCCCTATCATGTGCGACTTGAATAGGTCCGTAGCAACAGTAGCTCTGCTTTCTCCGCTCAAAAGTGCACGGGAACATGGCTGAAGGGGATTGAAAGCCAATGGACTGTACCCTTCGCTAAAACAGCAGACGCAACGCGCCGCACGGCGAGGCCCACATGTAACTGTAGTCAAGCGCCCTACTTGTCTGCGCCCTCTTACGGTTTGTTGATCTCTCTACCGCAGTAAGCCTTTTGCCGATCATCTCGTTGGTTTTGGGACCTCTCCAGCGCACATGCCAGCGTAATCCATCATGGCATATCTCTATCACCACCCTCTAACCCCATTCCTGTGTATTTTTGAGAGGAGAAAGTGCCCTGCTGCACCTATGGACCCTTTCACCTCGCACTTGGCCAAGGCACTTGGTGGATGAGCGTAAGTTCTGTCTTTAAATTTTACTCATTGCCGCGCTGCTCCTCACTGCCATTTTGAAAGGCAGAGGTGCACCAATAAGAAACGCGCTATGAAGGCCCAGCCCTGCCCATATTAAACTTGGGATGTGTCTCTAAGGAACCAACTTATACTTCGAAATAGTATCAGCAGAAATAAGATAATGTTGCAGTGTTCTCCATGGATGCGCTCGATTTCTCGAATACCCTCCCTAAGTATAACAACTTCATCGATCATCGCCCTGAGGGATTTCCCATGGTTTTCATTCATGTGACGAATGCTACTCGGGTAAGTTCCTATTTTCTTACATCACCAGCTTACTTCCGAACTTGAGTTGTAAGACGATGATATCCGTACGGTCACTCCGTGTCCGGGTCAAGAGATCCACGTTGACTAGACAGCTGTTGAAAGAAGTGTCATGTGCGCGGCATTCGCACCAGAACCTCACCTGTTCAACTTGAGAGTGCTATAGTGTGTGTAAGCGACTATCTACGAAATAATAGGTTTTTGCTGAACGTCGCCTCTACGTGGATTTCCTGACCATTCAGAATTGTCGTTTACAGATCCCATTTCAGGTGTTCTACAGCATCCTTGCCCATCCTCGATGTACCCACTGTGAAACGCCCCTGGTCACAGTGTTCGCGAACAGCACCGAGCCGATCCGTGTGGAGTTTGAACTGGATGAACGAACTGGTTGGCGGTATCCAGAATGCGTCCATCTAGATGTCAGTCTTTTTCTTGAATCATAACGAGCTAAAGGGCGCTATTCGGCTTGAGAGGGACATTTCGCAGCTTCGCTAGTTCATGTTGATAATAGGTCCCATTTTGGCGGCACCCATAAACCCTAGTGAAGCTGAGAGCTGTGTACAAATAGGCCACTTTGGTTGCAAGAATTTGCAGGTTTTATAAAAGTTGCCTGTACATACATCGCTGGTAACGTTTGTTGCCCCTACCAAGCCGAACTGCGCCAGCTGAACCACAGAAATGGATCCTAATAATGATGTTTCAGGCGGAACATACGTCCTGGTCAACGCATCACGCCCAACTCGTCGCGCTCAATCTGACGCACGCTGTCTGCGAATTCGAGTCAAGCGGAGTGTTCACGGTGTTTGCCAAATCTGACTCTGGCTCATTCGTGAGTTCGAACTTCTTCTCCCACTTCGTATGCTCCCGAAATCTTCACCATTCCAGATGCGCATTTCACATTCGGCGTCGTTGGCGGCTCCAGTGATGGCAGCGGTCGCCCTCCTGCTTTGCCTAATGGCCATGGTGTTGACACTTGCGAAAAGAGCAACAACTGCCAGGCTCATCCGACTCGGATATATCGTCACCTTCGTCCTTAACGCCACTAACCTGTACTTCGTGAACAGAGCAGCAGTGAATCAGGTGAGAATCTGCGGCACTAGGCAACCTTCACTGTGCCATTTGTGAGTTCGGTGTACAGTCGTGATCCCTGCAAACGATAGGGCGTGCCAGGAACATGGCTTGGAGCGCAGCCGTATCAGATTTTCCACCAATTGTAGCGGACTCAAGATGGCATCATTGGTGGGGAAACAGGGCCCCAATACGCACCACGTCGCCTGTCGTTCATAGGGGATCGTGACTGTATGTCCTGATGGCTGACGCCACAGCAAGGGAGTTGTATATGGTCGACAAGGGGGTGTATATGAACATGCGAAATATTTTTCCTGGTGGTTCATTCTTCCCTTTCTTTAGCATCCACTCACCTTCTGGTCAGCGGCACGGCAATTTTACTACTTCTGATAAATCGGAGGGAATCTTCCTCCTCCCCTCCTACCTGCCTTTTTGGTGGAAACTGAGTCGGTGAAGTTGGGCATGCTGAGGGTGGGGAATCTTGTTGGGGGCACTGTTTCCTCGCCTTGATAGTGTCCGCTGTTTATTAAGGTGTTTACGTCAGAATGTTCTGTCCCGGGAAATGGATTCTACCGGATACCCAACCAGGGCTTGTTTGACTCTCTTAACGCGAATTTCGATCTGTGAAACGAAATGCCTGGCGCTCACCTAAAAGGCGCCTGCAAAGCACCGGCTGCTTGGCGCTCGTTCTACAGGCGCTGGCGTCGCCGCTGAAATCCAAGACAATTATAGAATA